CACACACACACACACACACACACACACACACACACACACACACACACTTGAAGTCTGTATTTCAGCATGTGAACTATGACAGGCAAGCCTGTTGTATGTAACAATTTCTGAGGAGCTATGAACAAACATCTCTTCATGCTAGATAGGGGACATATGATTGACCAAGTGAAGGGAACAGCAAAGTTAGGGATTGTTTACAAGAACAAAATTAACTAAAAGGCAGCTGAATCACTAAATCCCATGCCAGAATGGTTAACGGCTCGCAAAAACTAGAATCCTGGAATGCCTAGATCAACCTGCAGGTAGGTCAAAAGGTTAGAGAGAATCATCTCAAAGGTAGCACAGCAGTGTGGTACCCCAACAGCAACATCTCAGAACAGAAATGTTTGGGGTTAATGGTAAAAGTAATAGTGGGGAAATACGAGCTAAAGAAGACCACACTCTTCCTGGGCTGGCTAAGGGTGAATAGGACCATTACAAGGTGAAGGTCACAGGAGGAGCTTGCTGGAAATGTTGACAAGGCATAACTGAGACATTGGAGGAAGACCACGCCCTTCATGGCCTGAGTTGTGCTTTAGTTCCCTGTAGGTTTGTTTCTCTGACTTCCTCATTTTGAGAAAAGGCTGACCTCCCCCCATCATCCCCATACATCTAAGCCTCGCCATTTCTTCATCCTCAATCCTCCTCTCCTCACTACAGCCCCTCATCTGGCCCTGCAGATTCTGTTTCATCGTTTCGGGCACTGATGGTCACTGGACGAATGTCACCAGCTTCCATTTGTTTATCTTTTATTATTTTCAATTTCATTTTACAGTCCAACCACAGTTTTTCCTCCCACCACGCACTGCCCTCCCATTGCACCCCCATCTGCTCCTCCAATAAGGTAAGGCCTTTCATGAGGAGTCAACAAAGCCTGGCATATTAAGTTAAGCGAGGACCAAGCCTCCCCCCCCCCCACAACGTGAAGGCTGAGCATGGCATCACACCATAGGGAACTGGTTTCAAAAAGCTAGCTCATGCACAGTAAGAGACACTCAGTAGACTAGGTTAAGGAAAATACAGATCCATGGTTTGTGCTCACTCATATATGGATTTTAGACATAGAGAAACTAGGCAGAGAAAGTACTATGCAAGGGGGAACCTAAGAGATTCATACAAGGTCCCTCACAGAAGGAGAAAGGAACAAAATCTCCTGAGCATATTGGGAGTGTGGGTGGGGGGCAGTGCGTGGAGAGGGAGAGAGGAGAAAAAGAAGGGGAGGAGAGGAGAACATGAGTGACTAGGAAGATTGAGTTGGGGGACGAATGGATGAAATCAAGAGAGAGAGAGAGAGAGAAATCATTATAGAGGGAGACATTATAGGTTCAAAGAAAAAACTGACTCTAGAGAAATGTCCAAAGACCTACAAGGATGACCCCAACTAACAAGCAATAGTGGAAAGGCTACCTTATATGCCGTGGTCTGATAATGAGATTGATGACTAACTTATCCACCATCATAGAGCCCTCATCTAGTTGAAAACAGAAGCAGACACCCACAGCTAAACACTGAGCTGAACTCCTGGAATCTAGTTGCAAAGAGGGAGGAGTGATAAGAAAAGGGATCAAGACCAGGCTACAAAAAAAAAAAAAAAAGAAAAAGAAAAAAAAGAAAAAAAATACCTGCAGAGACAGCTGACCTGAACAAGGGGAAGCTCATGGACTCCAGACTGATAGCTGGGAAACCAGTGTTATACTGAATCAGCCCCCCTGAATGTGGGTTTCAGTTAAAAGGCCTGAGCAGTCTAAGAAACCTCTGAGTGGAACCAGGAGGTATCCCTGGTGCACAAAAGGACTTTGGGAGCACATTCCCCATGGAGGGATACTAGAGGCAGGGGGAGGGCCTAGACTCTACTCCAAATGACTTGACAGATTTTGATGATTCTTCCTGGAAGATATCACCCTCCCTGTGGAGTAGGGACAGAATGGGATGGAAGGGCGGGTCGGGGGAGGGAGAGGGAGCTGGGATTGATATGTAAAATAAGAAAAATTATATATATATATGTATACATGTGTATATACATGTATATATATACATATATACATATATATATAAGAAAATACAGATCAATAAAAAAGTTTTATAGAAACACGATACTTTATAATATAATTAAAATAGAATTTTAAAAGACTTGAAATTGAGGTACCCTGAAAAGATGGATAATGCCCAGAAGCAACAGGTTATTAAACAGGCGTTTCAGAATCAGGTATCTCAGAGTCAAAGCTGTCAGACAAGGAGGACCCAGGAGTATGCATCTCACCAACACAGGGTGTTGAAATCCATGTTGTTTCCCAATAAAATCATCAGATTTACTGGTGAATATATCATAAGGTTTGGTTGTAGAATGTGGAGGAAGCTAAAAATGAGGTGAAAGTTTTCTCCTCACTAGCTTCACAACTTGGAATGCATTGTGTAGACTTCTAAAGGAGGAAAGTTACCCCTGGTCCCACCTAACTGTGAAGCTTATGCCCTATACTACCTACCAGAAAAACTCCATCTCCCTCCTTTACCATAGTACCATGACTGTTAAAGGCATAGCTAACTGCTTTCTTATCTTACATGAGGTATGTTCAACAGCAGAGTGTCTTTTCATGGTGCTATCATGCGCAATCAAAAATCCGTGCAGCAATCATTATGCACCCTACAGAGGTATCTGCTACTCATACACGGTGCCAAACGACCTTACTTACATGAACAGATTTTTACCGGTCTTGGTGCTAATCAGACATTTCTGTATGCAACTGGTGGTAGTTGATTGGTAGTACAAACGTGTAGCTTGTCCAAGCATGGAGATTAAGAAGCCCTTGAGTGTTTGACGTAGTCAGCACGTCTATATCCCTCTGTCTCTGCTTCAGGGAACGTGAAAGAAGGAAGGTGAGGAATGAAGAGTGGTTCCGTGCAATACCACCCCCTGAATATCACTTCACATTATACTAGTCAGCTCATAGCAAGTGTGGTTACCTACACAAGGCTGGCATAACCCTGAGTTGTCACCAGGTAAGCGTTGCTATGGGGGTGGGGGACCATGAGGGCTCTTCCTGTTGCTTTTCCTGTTGCTACGATAAAATACTCAGGGAAGTGTTCTTAAAGCTCACAGTTGCAGGGTACAGTTGATCGTGGACGAGAAATCAAGGCAACAGAACCTTGAAGCAGCCAGAAAAACTATATCCACACACAAGAAGCAAAGTAGGTTGAATGAATACATAGTGGCGCCCAGTTCACTTGCTTCAGTTTAGACACACCAGTACCTGCTTCTCTCCAAAATAGTCCTAACCACGGTTAAAACGGCACTATCCACACCAGTCCCTCTAATCAACATAAAAATACCTCAGAACACATCTATGAACACCTGATCTTTGACAAAGTAGCTAAAATTATACAATGGGGGAAAAAAAGCATCTTCAACAAATGGTGCTGGCACAACTGGATGCTGGTGTGTAGAAGACTGCAGATAGATCCATATCTATCGCCATGCACAAAACTTAAGTCCAAATGGATCAAAGACCTCAACACAAATCCAGCCACACTGAACTTCTTAGAATAGAAAGTGGGAGGTACCTTTGAAAGAATTTATACAGGAAACCGCTTCCTGAAAATACACCAGTAGCACAGACACTGAGATCAACAATAAATAAATAATATCAGAGATTCAGAAGCCATAAAGGACTATTGTAGGTCTATCCAGGCTCTCCATACCTCTGTACTGACTGTATATATATATATATATATATGTATATATATATGTATGTATGTATGTATGTATGTAAAAACTATATAAATATATTTTTTTCTTGTTTTACATACTGATCCCAGTTCCCTCTCCCTCCTGACCCCCCTCCCATGCCTCCTACCCCTCCCAGCCCATCCTCCCCCCACTCCACAGGGAGGGTGCTGACTTTATCATCTTAAGTCTTCATGCTTACCATCTCCTTCTTGACAGTGTCACAGTTTTATCTCCATTGGGCCCTGCATCTTCAGAGCCCCAAGTCCATACTCCAGTTTCCAAACAAATAACAAGAACAGGGGGTTGTAAGACTGGATTTCTCACACTTCGCCTTAACAAAACAACTAGGATGTATAGGATGAGGGTCTCCTCTTTGTGAATCTTAAATATTCTAATAGTCAATTGAATACTAAACAGGTATCTTTTGTCGTGATAATGCAGATATATCAGAGTCTGGTGGTGTCCTATCTCGTCACACAGAACTAAGCAGGGAGGACAAAAGTTGCTATACCTGCTATTATCACCGTTCCTTGTTGCTCCCGTCATGGAGCTGACTGACCTTGGTACATAAGGAGAGGCTGGGACTTTAAAGTATCTATGCAAAGGATTATACACACCAATCAGCAAATGTCGCTGACCTGGATTTATTTAAGAAAATGGCTACCATAAATGCCCTTCCCGGATAGTGAGATCAACAACTAACTTATCCACCATCATGGAGCCCTCATCTAATGCCTGTTGGAAACAGAAGCAAACACCCATACCTGAGTCTAACTAGAATCCAGATGCAGAGGGAGAGGAGGACAAGAAACACATAGAGACAGCTGACTTGAACAAGGAGGAGCTAACAGGCTCCCTGACTGACAGCTGGGAATCCAGCATGAGACTCACTCAGGCCCCCCTGAATATGGGTCTCAGCTAGAAGGACAGCAGTCTAAGGGACCTCAGACAGTGGAACCAGATGTATCCCTGGTGCACAAAAGACCTTGCGGACTTATCCCCCATGGAGGGATACTGCCTTAACCTAGAGACAGGAGAGAAGTCCTAGTCCCTACTTCAAATGACTAGACAAATCTACAAGACCCCACCTGGAAGGCATTGCCCTACATGTGGAATTGGGGTGGGGGGATGGGAGGGGAGGGTGGTCAGGGTGCATGTGGGGGGCAGAGCAGGTAAGAGGGAGGGAGGGAGGGAGAACTGGGATCGACATGTAAAATAAAAAATTAATTAAAAAATTGTATTTTCAAAATTGTATCAACAGCATCCCAGATAGTTCCTTTATACACTAGGCAGCACATTTTTATAAATTAGAGAAGCCTTACAATAAGTGTATGATGAATTCCTAAGGGTATAAGAGTACAGAATATGGGGCATCATTTATATTGTTATTTTTTTCATTGTTGAATCTGAATTCTGCTCATTAGTCGCTGTTGTTGTTGAGTCAAAGTCCATGTTCATAGTAACAACAAAATCCACAAAAAGCAGAATCTCATATTACAAAATACAGAATGTGGCAATTTATAATGTAGGAAAGTTTGACAAGAGACTTAGGAAATCAGAAGTTACAGAGATAAGGACCCAAACCTCACTGATGGAACAACATGTTCCTGGATATCATGCACTATAAAGAGGAAGGAAAAATCTTAAAAGTCCACAGCAAGGTAGAGGGTAAGGGCCTTAATGGAATGGTGGGAGATCTCTCCACACCAACCTATAGGTCTTTTCTTGCACCCCAAAACACATTTGATTCCTACATATTTTCTCACAAGTGATTCCAAATACTAAACATTGAATATTCTTGAGAAAACAAAACAACAAAACACACACACACACTAAAGGTCCTCAAAGTTGATGCAGGTCATGTAGCTGTCTCTTGACTTCTAGGTTGCATGCAGAGTCCTTCCCCAGCTGTGGCAAGCCTCAAACAGCAAAATCCCAAGAACTATGAAGACCAAAGCTGATAAGCCCATCCTGATGAGGTTCTCCACCATGTGATCCTGGGACTGTGAGGCTGGAAATTGTGGACAAACAGGTCAGGACCAACAAAAGCCAAGGCAAGATAACTGGTTTTCAACTCTGAGTAGCTCCCGCCTCTGTATAGAATTTGACCTTCTGTGTCCGTGTCCAAACCAGAATTTTCCATACTCACCTGTTGTGGCTTCTGACATATTTTCCAATTGGGTGGTGGTGGTCTCAAGTGCTCCTGAGAAACAAAGACATGATGGATTTGTGAAGTGTTCAAGAGAACAGATTCTTTTTGTCGAATTTCATATTCTTATTTCCTAGAAAGACACATTATTCTCATCGCATAGCATTAGGAAGATCAGCTGTAGTAGACTTCCTCCTGGGCCTTTGCTTGATTTCGTTGGCCTTACTATGGCCTGAGATCAGAACTCATGGCCAAGGCACTTCTTTGGAACATAATATATTTTATTCCGGAGAGCTCAGATGGACAAATATGGTCTCCCAGTTCAGAATGAAAGTGCCGTCCTATGATCACATCAAAGTCTGGAGTACAGAATCCTGGAAGCTAATTCCCCTGGAAATTGGCTTGCACTGATTCACTGGCTGAGAACCCAATATCCAGCCACAGTCATTTTCTTGGGGCCCATGAGTATTAGTTGCACAAAACAATTATAGGATGGGCTTCTTTCCCTACACTCACCCCACCCAGTTCCTGTGATGCTTCTGTTTAACATCTCACCCTCTAATCATCACATTGTTAGTAACACAAACAATACTACCACAAAGATATAAAGATATGCTCCCAGGGCTGGAGAAATGGCTCAGCAGTTGAGAACACTGACTGCTCTTTCAGAGGACCTGGATTCAGTTCTCAGCACCCACATGGCAGCTCACAGCTCTCTGTGGCTCCAATTCCAGGGGATCTGACACCCATGATAGAACACCAGTGTATAAAGTAAAAATAAATAAAATTTTAAAAAGATATGCTCACAATATCCAAGAATGCAGATAGCCTAAATCATCAACAAATAGGCCAATGACAAGCATGTAAAAGTATAATACTTTTACTCATGTCTGGAGAGGCTACAGACTAGATTAGAAACCAATACTGCCATGTTCTTAAACCAGGGTGATTTCCAACTTCATTCTAAGTGCTTATTCTTATACCCACAGGTAAGTTTAGCTCAGTAAGGAAGTATCTTTTTCCACAGATGAGGGTGGTTACAGAAATCTACAGCTGGTCAAATCCAAAATAAAGTGGGATTGGTGTGCCCAATCCAAATGGACATTTATATAACACAAACTATAAATATGAAATGTAGAGACCATTGAGGAAGTGAGACATAAAGTATGTAAGAGCCAGAATAACAAGATATCTGCTACAGAATAGAGACTTCTAGACAATGAAGGAAAGCTATACCCAAGAAATTTCAAAAGTATGGATGGATGCCTAAAGAAGACCAACATAATGACCACCTGGACTCCCTTTTACATCCTGGGATCATCTCAAACTAACAAGATCAGATCACAGCTAGTGGACAGCAGGAAGTAGAGACAAAAGACATGGTTAATCAATCTGTGATGTCTTCAGATGAAATTGTTTGGAGACAAGGGAAGAGAGTGGAAGAATCCAAAACAAGTTAGGCTGTAGGATGTGCATATGAGTTTGTGTATGTATGAGTGTGTGTGAGAGAGAGACAATAACAACTAAAAGTCAGGAACCAAATTTAACAGTGCTTGAAAAATTCAGAAATAATAAGAGGAGGAAGAGAAAGGCTAGAAATGATATAAATACAATACTCATATGAAATCATAAAAAATTAAATTTGTACATGTACATATGATAACCATATAATTTTACAGATGTACTTATACAATTATAAATACACGTGAACATAACTAGATAGAATTATACCTGTATATGCATAAGTTTGTATGCTACCATGCAATTTTAGATGTATTTATTTGACAGAAAAAAATATTTGTGCAAGAAGATTTTTTAAAAAAGCTGGGTGCAAGTGGAGATCAATATATGAAACCAAATAAATGAAAAACAGAAAGATAAATACCATGCTTTCCCTCCTATGAGGATCTGGGTTTACAAGTATATAAAATCACATATAATGCACATAACATACAACTATCATATACATAATGCTCATCTATTACATGACTATATGGAGCTCGTCGAGCTGATCCCTGCATAGCAAAAGGAAGGCGTCACATGAAGACCCATCTGTCTTCTAGACATTCCGTGTTTCGCTCTCCTGTGCTCTTTCAGTCTCTGTGATCCTATTGTCTACTCCATGCTCTGCGTCCATAGGACTGAGAGCGCTTCACGCCTAAGTGCTCTTGTCAGGTGTAACGTCTTTCAATACACAAGCTGGGCTTCCTCACCTGAGACCAGGAGCTCTAAAGGATCGCTGGGTTCTGACCACACCTGGGGATTACTCAGATAATAGCCATAGCATCTGAATGTCCTCTTCTGAGTGGAGTTCGTAGGACCCACGGAGAACAGACCCCGGAAATTGCTATTAGAGTATATGTACTGTGAGTCTAGGGTCCAGGAGAACTTCTGTGGCTCTTCTTTAGTCAGAGAGAATCCATCATATCCTATCTGTGAGGCACACTGGAGGGTCACATTGCCTCCTAATCTCACCGCTGGGTTGGGCAGGGCTGACAGACTCGGTTTTGTATAAAATCCTAGAAGAGAAGACAGCATCCTGATAAATGAGACAGCGCCTCTTCATTTACCCTCCAGAGTTAGGATTCACAAAGTACATCTCAGAGGGAAGATACATTCCTGGGGACAGATCTTTGGAATGCAGGCACTGTGTTGTCATTTACCTGTCACCATCAAGTCCAGAAAGTCACTGCGCTCTGACCAGCCAACATGGGTCTGATAGTAACAGCAGTATCTCCCTGCATGGTTCTGATGAATGGATGGGAAGAAGAACTCAGCCATGTTTCCAGGCTTCATGAGACTCTGCCTTTGCCAGGGATCTGGCCTTCCCTCTTTATAGAGATAGTATTCCTGGGCACTTGAGGTCCCCTCACATGAGATGGTCAACTGCATGCCCTTGGTCATCACGGAGCCTGGCTGAGCTCTAAGTGTTGGCTTGCCAATAATTTCTGCAAGGAAATCAGCATCTTAATCACAAAGCATTGGCCTTCTAATCTCCATCCCTCAGCCCCAAGAACCTCTGAGGATGATCCAGGAGTAGTTCACACCTGCTGTCCTTTTTCCCACCCTGTCCAGGATTGGGTCCCGGTCCACAGGAGAAGAAACATCCTGAGTCACACTCACCTGCTGGTAGATGAGTCATGGGGACCAGGCTCATCCCTAGAAGAGAATGCTGTGTCAGTTTTGCCCCTGAAGTCAGAGCAGATCCTCCCCTCCTCAGAGGTCCCTACATGCCTGATGGCCCAGGGTATATCTATGAGGCATGTTCCACACCACCAACAAACCACAGTATCCCTTTCTACAATTTATCTCACCAAGATAGAGCAGGACTACAGAGGCAATAGTCATGGCATCTCCTTCCAGAGGCTACAATAGTGCTTAGCAGCAGGGCCAGAGTGTCTGGCCATATGGACAAGCAGAACAAGGTGTGGCCTTGGGAGGCCAAATACTCCCCATCACGTGATGGCAATTTCTTCAGTGACACAGGAAAGGGAATTACACTCCCATTGGCTCCCATTTCTCCAGTACTATACTTGAGTTGGCTCCAGACTCTCTAGTACTTTTTTACAGAGATGGTATCCACCCCAACCTCCCTTATGACTGCCTTATCTGCATCACACTGGGGACCATAGCACATGAGCAAATAGGCCTGGTGTCTTCCTTTGCTGTTCCCCATCCACGTGAGTCTGGTTGAAGGCTTACTTTATCCCCTCTCAGAGCCTCCTCAATGGACCTCCTTCATTCTTCCAGCCTATCCACCTACACGGCATTATGGGATATTCATCCTGGTCAGTCAGCTCCCAACCCCTGCAGATGCTTGGGAGGTTGATGTTACAGGAAAGACAAGAGTAGAGGCACATCCTTGAGCACCTGACTGCAAGCTCACACGGAGCTTCCATCCTAGAGATGAGCCCAGGGAGCTGCAAAGGTAGTGGATGCAAACATGACTGTTCTCCCAAGTATTGCTTTCCTGCATTAAATAAGCCTATTCCTGAAGTCCCTTCATTTTTACGTGTTTCGTCTAAGTGTACGCAGTGGCCGCCATCAGCATAGAGAAGTGTCCTAAGGCTGAAGCTGCAGGTATGAACCACAATGTGAGTGCTAGGATTCAACTCAGGTCCACTAGAAGAGCAGCCAGTACCCTAAAACAGCTAGTCAATTCTCCAGCCCCTCTATCTGCCCCTTAATATCTGTCACCTGTCGTTTGGAATCAAAAAGCATGCTCTACAATTCTGGCGTGAGTTTCTTTTGATTGCCACACATCCTTCCCTTGTCTTGAAACAATTTTATCTAAGAGATTGCTCATTCACCATGTGTTTTGTCTCCAATTCTTGTTGTCCACCACTTTCTGTGTGATCTGGGATGCCAGGATGGGAGGTGAAACAAATGACAAATATCAAGGTGTTGGATTGGAGCAAAGAAAACCCTTTAAGGACAACTTTCAAACATCCAACAGGTGTAGAAAGGGGGCGTTTAATGCCATGCTGTCCATTGTTTTTCTTTCTTTTTTTTTCCTGAAATTCTGGAGGCAAATGAAGTATTCACCAATCCCATTTCAGAGACAAAGGGAAACATAAAACAATTGCAATAACTGAAATAGGACCCTTAGGCACAAAAAAAGGTAGATCACTAAAATGCGTAGACAAAAACATCCTGAAGCAAAGGTTGAAAAGTCAGAAGTCAGAGTTTGTTATGAAGTCTTAATTTATTTTCCTTTTCCCCAAGCCTTGGCAGACAACTCTGGTTGTGGATTGGTATTATAGTGTAGAACACAGTAACTGATAATCTCTGTTGGAGCCCAAAGCTTATATAAAGAAGTCTGGGCCTGTTGCAATAATGTGTCAATTTCTCCTTTGTCATCAGGCTGCAAATATCACCAGGACAGTTTCAAAGACCATCCCAGAGGACTTTGTGAGGAAAGTAGACTTCAGGTTATTCATTTTAAAAGAAATCTGAAATAAGTCAGGCACCACAGTGCATTAAATAACTAAGTATGACTGAACTGAACTGAACTGAACTGAACCGAACCAAAATGAAAGGTACATTTGAACCAGAGGCCACTAGGGTTGTGAAAGAGGACAAAACAGAACAGAAAGTGCTTTCAAAGCAGTCCAGGAAAAAAACCACGTAATAGAGCAACTCCATTTTTTTCAGACACAGAGATAGAAATGAATGCTGGGGAGCCTGGAAAGGGAACATGGCCAATGGAAATAACTTGGGGTTTCAGAGTCAACGGTCCTGGAGTAACCCCCACCACAGGCGGGAATTGCAACTCCTCATTAAGTCAGTGACTTTTTATTTTTTATTTATTTATTTTTCTTATTTTACACATCAATCCCAATTCCCTCTCCCTACCTCCCTCTCTTCCACCCTCCCATGCCCACCGACCACCATCCCATCCCATCCCCCCCACTCCACATGTAGTGTGATACCTGCCTGGAGGGGTCATCTAAATCTGCCAAGTCATTTGGAGTAAGGACTAGGCCTTCCATCCTACCTCTAGGTTAAGGGAGTGTCCCTCCATGGGGGATGTGCTCCCAAAGTCCTTTTGTGCACCAGGGATACATCCTGGTTCCACTGTCATAGGTCCCTTAGACTGTCCAGACCTTCTTACTGAGACCCATGATCGCAGGGTCTGAGTTGGTTCAATGCTGGATTCCCAGCAATTAGCCTGGGAGCCCATTAGCTCTTTTCCTTGTTCAGGTCAGCTGTCTCTGTGGGTTTCTGTAACCTGGTCTTGTCCTCCCTCTCTGTATCTAGATTCTAGTCCAGCTCAGTGTTTAGTTATGGGTGTTTGCTTCTGTTTCCATCAGCTACTAAATGAGGGCTTCATGATGGTGGATAAGTTAGTCAACAATCTCATTATCAGGGAAGGGCATTTATGGTAGCCTTTCCACTGTTGCTCAAATTGTTAGTTGGGGTCAGTCTTGTAGGTCTCTGGACATTTCTCTAGAGTCAGTTTTCTCTTCAAACCTATAATGGTCTCTCTCTCTCTCTCTCTCTCTCTCTCATCTATTCCTCCCCTGACTCAATCTTCCTAGTCCCACATGCTTTCCTCTCCTCCCCTTCTCTTTCTCTTAGCCCCCTCTCCACTCACTGCCCCCCCACTCCCAATATGCTCAGAAGATCTTGTTCCTTTCTCCTTCTGTGAGGGACCTTGTATGAATCTCTTGGAATCATCCTTGTATCCTAGTTTCTCTGGCAATGTGAATTATAGGCTGCTGATCCTTTGCTCTATGTCTAAAATCCATATATGAGTGAGTACATACCATGCAATCCTACTCTTAGGCATATATCCAAATGATCCACATCCATGCAACAAAGACATCTGTTAAACTTGTTCATAGCAGCATTATTTGTAATAGCAAGAACCTGGAAGCAACCTAGATGCCCTCAACTGAAGAATAGGTAAAGAAGATGTGGCACATTTACACAATGGAATACTACTCTGTGGGAAAAAAACCAATGGAATCTTGAAATTCACAGGCAAGTGGATGGAACTTGAACAAACCATTCTGTATGAGGTAATCCAGTCACAAAAAGTCAGTGACTTTTAAGATCACTCAGATCTGGAAAAAGACCCAGAGTTCATTCTACTGGCCACCACAAGCATAAATAGGCAGAATTAAGAAGCATGATAGCAGGGCTGAAGAGATGGCTCACAAGTTAAGAGCACTGACTGCTCTTCCAGAGGTCCTGAGTTCAATTCCCAGCAACTACATGGTGGCTCACAACCATCTGTAATGAGATCTGGTGCCCTTTTCTGGCCTTGCAGGGACACTTGGAGGCAGAATGTATATATAATAAATAACTCTTTAAAGAAAAAAGAAGCATGATGAATTACCATCAATAAGAAAATAGAGTTGTTGGTCTGATATTAGTATCCTGAAAGATCAGCTCTCAAAGGTTCTCCCAGGGTTCAAGGAAAAATTCTACAGCATAGTGAAACTGAACTAAAAGGTTTTTTTTCTATCTCAGGGGTACGTAATAAACTCACACACATGTTCTTTGGGTCCTGTTCTTTCTAGTTCTCCTTTGTCTCAATTCTCTTGCTTCTTTGGTCAACTTGCTTAAATGCACTTTTTTACAGGATGGTTGAAGCAATCAGAAAAATGTTGCAACAGTTACAACTCATTGGTCATAGCACATTCCTTGGGTAAGCAATAAGAAGCAAAGCTTTTACCATGGCAACACAAGATTTTAAGATTTCAGGTGTAAGACCAGAGGTTGGGCATTCAGTGAGACATAGGTCTTCATCAGCCACACATGGCAAGCAAAGAATTGGAATGAATTTTAAGTTGCTTTGTGTTAATAATGTTGGTAGACATCTACAAATGTGGCACTGTGCATATCAGCAAAGTTATTTAACTTATGACCCATTTACAGAAATATTTAGTCTTATTTAAACTATTTAAACTTGATCTGAGGTTTAAAAAAATAAGCTGATTGTGTGTAGTATGAGTAAAAGGAACAAAACAGGCTTTTAAGTGTCTTACAGTCCTTGTGCAACAATAGATCTTCTTCTGAAGCATAGCCTAGTATATTTCCTATATATAAAAATTATATTAATGAGAAATCATCTTCCTGACCAACCGTGGATATATGTGCCCAGAAGATTGATGCAATCATCAGATTACACATAAACATCACATGAGTTTACACACTACAATGTAGGCATTGGGGAGACACCATAGCTACTTTTATACAAGTGAAATTATAGTCGGGGGCCAACAGTTTCCAAGATCAGCACCCCACAGGCCTTTCCCTGGCAGGATTCTCCTCCATCAGACAATCATTCCTCTGGTGGGTTGACATCTGAACATTAGTTGGCTCCTGCTGCAACTCTCATGGCCTCCCATAACTTGGCTCTCCCCAAAAATGGCACTCTCCATGATAAAAGAGCAGGAAGATGCTGGTTAGAAAAAGGTTTACCTCTTCAAATTCTCTCCTTTGGATGCTGGATGTCTCCATCCTCTTAAAGACATAAATGCTTCCGTCAAATGGAGCTTTTCCCACAATACATGTCCTCTTTCTGGCTTGACAATTTCTTGGTATTGACTGTAGCTTTTCATGACCTGCCAATGCACACATGTGCTGTGTTACTCTTTATGTAAGAGTTAGAGGAAAGGTTGTACCTGTAGCTAAGAGTGATAATTCATCATTAGGATGATGTTCTGGAAAGCCATATG